GACTACTTATTTGAAAGTGAAATGGTTTTAAAGAGACTAAATTAGAAAATTGTCTTCATCCTATATGTATATATATTGATACTTGACGCCATACGGAATACTGTCGAAGAAAACAATAAATTAAGAGGAAAATTGTTCATTTTTTTTTTAATTGTCTGTGACAGGAAGACAACAATGTTTTAAATAAATTTTTTTCCCATATTTATAACTGTATACAATATTATATCAATCTATAAATTATAAAATAATTTTATAAATGGAATATAATTTATATTTATAATATACATTTACAATATAATTTATATTATAATTTATATTTACAATACAATTTATAATATAATTTATAGATCTATAATTATATATCCAACAACAATATTCAATTATAAAACTCTTTTTTTACAAATTCTAAAGTTTAAAAAACTTTTATATATATTTGAAAAATACTTTGTATATATAACGTGTATTTTATATAGTTTTCCTTGTATGACATTTAATACCGCGTGTGTGTAATTTAAAAAAAAAAAAGAAAAAAAAAATTGTCTTGCAAAAGGAAGTTGAACGTGGATACAGTTACTTAAACATGCATTGACACTATCTTCTTAAGTACCTATGGATATGATGTTACCTCCCCATGTTTTTGTATAACAATAATCAGCACAACAAACAATGAAAAAAAATAATTATATATTGAAACACAATAAGATTTAATCTCCTAATAATAAAGACTAAAAATAATTCCTTATTTGCGATCTATATTATACTGAAATAAGAACAAGGTTTAAAATTGTCGGGGGAAAAAAAAAACCAGAAAACTCTTAAAGAAATTTAGAAAATTTAGAAAAAAAATTGCACCTGAAATTGAAAGTCTATTGAAAAAAAAGAGGGTTTCAAGAATAGAACCTATTAAAATAGAACGACCTATTTTAGAAAGTTAAACGGAATTATGACTGTCAAGATTGTTATAGAAGCAAGAGAGAGAAATTTACCATGAAGTTTTTTTTTTCGACAACACCTCTTGAAGGCAAAAGAGGAAATGGGGCATTATTGTATAAGGAAAAAAGAATGTAACATTAAGAGAACCCTTTTATATATAAAGTGAATCAAGAACGAAGGTCTGGAGATTCTTATCTGGGTTGATATGCGCGAAAAATCTCTGTGTATATAAATTGAAAGAAAGATGCTGGAGTGAATGTATATATATATATCGTGTACAGTGTGCACGAGCCGATTCTAATTGGGATTTATTACGATGTTAATTCGGGCAATTGTGCGAATGAAGTTAAATCGTTGACCTCATGGTCTCAGTTTCTGCATTGATTAAACAGGCGCGCAGCACGTGTCAATGGTGTAATGTGTGTTGGTTTGTTTTACACCCTATGCGATTATACATATATATACAGAAAGACACAAGCATAAAAGTACATAGAAAAGGTTCAATACACATATGGCTTCCATCTATCAGTTTATTGTTCCACATTAACATGCGTTTAGAATAGCACACACAATAAATACCCCTTTAAAACCTCAGTCGATGCTGTTCGACGATTAGTTCAATAACACACACCTAAACGAAACATATATATTTTCATAGGGTGTTTACTGTATACTTTTGATGATTCTATTTTACTGTAAAACAAAACCCTGACAAAACACAATTGGAACGGTCACACGAGAAAACAAAACAGTATTTAGTGGCATTATGCCGAATTTTGGTACTGGACAGGGATGCTTGATCCAGAAATAGAATCAGAACTTCAAATTAGAATTTTTAACTACTTTAAACTACATTGAAACTGTTTAAAACTAGTTTAAAACTATTTCAAACTATTAAAAACTAGTTTTAAACGAGTTTAAAACAATTAAAACTAGTTTAAAACTATTTAAAAGTAGTAAGAAACTGTTTAAAACTAGTTTGAAACAATTAACACTATAGTTTTAATCTGTTTAAACTGTTTTAAACTAGTTTCAAAAAGCTTAAACTAGTTCAAATAGTTTCAAAACACTTTAAAATAACTCTAAATTAATTAAAAACAATTACAAACTAGTTCAAAACAGTTAAAAATTAAACAGTTTCAAAATACTGTAAATTTGTTTGAACTCATTTTAAACTAGTTTGCAACTGTTTTTTAATTAGTTTGGAGTTATTTTAAAGTGGTTTAAAACTATTTGGACTAGTTTAAAGTTTTTGCAACCGGTTTCAAGTAGTTTTAAACATATTGCAACCAGTTTAAAACGGTTTTAAACTAGTTTGGAACTGTTTAAACAAGTTGAAATCTAATTAAAATAAATCAAACTAGTTTTAAACTATTTGAAAACTAGTTTTGGACTGTTAAAACTAATTTAATCCGTTCGAAAATGGTTTAAAACCGTTTTAAACCGGTTGCAATATGTTTAAAACTACTTGAAAACCCATTTTAAAATAATTTTAACAGTTAAAAACTAGTTCAAACCCGTTTTAAACTAGTTTGTAACTAGTTAGAAACTGTTTAAATATAGTTTAACCAGTTTAAAACGGGTTTGTAACCGTCTAAAACAGTTTGAAACTAGTTTAAATTAGTTTTCATCGTTTAAAACAGATTTAAACTAATTTAAACTAGGTTGTAACCATCTAAAACAATTTAAAACTAGTTTTAAGCAGTTTATAACCATTTAAAACAGTTTTTTAAGCTAGTTAGAAACAAATCAAACTAGTTGTAATCAGTTTGAAACGAGTTTGGATTTATTTTAAACTAGTTCGAATTGGTTTGAAACTGTTTTAAACTTGTTTGTAACCGTTTAAACTAATTCAAAACAGTTTTGAACTAGTTTAAACGGTTCCAAACGTAGTTTTAAACTATTATTCTAAAAAAAAAGTTCTCCTGTTACTAAAAATTCGAAATAATTTCAAATTCGGCGTCACAAAAATTCTCTTATAACTTCCATATGGGGTAATAATATTCATGCCCGCGTATCTTATTATTTCTATATTACACTATCAATATATATTCCCTCTTTATTTTCTACAAAAGTTTCTCTTTTCTTTTTTTTCCTCATATATATCCGTTTCTCCATCATTCTTCAAGCTCCTCTTTATATTATTTTCTGACCTCAAACTCAACACACATATATATACATAAAATCCTTTCATTCCTCACGATTATTTCCTCTAAATATGTTACGAATTATTTCAACAGTCACGCACGTAATCGATTTTAAAAAGAATTCTATAATATTTCATTGGAAATCAAAAATCGTATACAATTGCAATCATTCATTCGTATGATGGACTTTAAAAATATATTTAATGATTAAAAATATGAGTTTTTGAGAGATATATAAAATTTAAATGAAAGAGAGAGAGAGAGATATATATATAGATAGATAGAGAGAAATAAAAGTTCATTGAATTCAATAGATTTTAAATAGGGATTCGATTGAAGGATTTTCCGATTTATTTAATCGAAGTTAACTTATTCATTTTGTGGAATCTCAAATTAACCTCAAAATTGTTTTCAATTGATTTCATATATTTTATATGGCTTCCTATTGCGTGTGAAGAATATATTTTTATGGTTTCATGACTTTTCTTGAATTTATAATAAACTCTTGTGCATTCTGTCAATTGATTTTATAGTTTTTTTTATCTTACTTTATATATATAAAATTTACTCTTAAATTAAGAATACCAAAAATTTAGATAATATTTTTGATATATATTCTTCAATTTAAAATAAATTCTTCCAAATATATTCTTCAATTTAGACTAAATTCTAAATATATTCTTCAATTTAGAATAAATTACGAAATATACACTTAAATTTAGATTAATTATTAAGGATATTCTTCAATTTAGAGTAAATTTTGAAAATATAATTTAATTCAGTGTAATTATTATCTTAAATGTAGAGGAAATTTTGAAAATTTAATATAATTAGTAAGAATATTCTTAAATTTAGAGGAAATTTTAAAAATATTCTCAAAATTAGAGTAAATTTTGAAAATATAATCAAAATTCAGTATAATTATTAAGAATATTCTTAAATTTAGAGGGAATTTTAAAACTATTCTCAAATTTAGAGTAAATTTTTAAAATATAATTTAATTCAGTGTAATTATTAAGAATATTCTTAAATGTTAAGGAAATTTTGAAAATTTAATATAATTAGTAACAATATTCTTAAATTTAGAGGAAATTTTAAAAATATTCTCAAATTTAGTGTAATTATTAATAATATTCTTAAATTTAGAGGAAATTTTGAAAATATTCTCAAATTTAGAGTAAATTTTGAAAATATTCTCAAATTTAGAGTAAATTTTGAAAATATAATTAAATTCAGTATAATTATTAAGAATATTTTTAAATGTAGAGGAAATTTTAAAAATATTCTTAAATTTAGAGTAAATTTTGAAAATATAATTTAATTCAGTGTAATTATTAAGAACATTCTTAAATGTAGAGGAAATTTTGAAAATTTAATATAATTAGTAACAATATTCTCAAATTTAGAGTAAATTTTAAAAATATTCTCAAATTTAGTGTAATTATTAATAATATTCTTAAATTTAGAGGAAATTTAGAAAATATTCACAAATTTAGAGTAAATTTTTAAAAAATATAATTAAATTCAGTGTAATTATTAAGAATATTCTGAAATGTAGAGGAAATTTTGAAATATTCTCAAATTCAGATTACATTTTACATATATTCTCAAATTGAGAATAAAGGGAAAAAAATATTTTTAATACCTTAAAAATAAATTATAAATGCAAAAAAAAAATAAAGATTTTCATTTTAAAACGCGATACCTAAATTAATAATAAATTCTTAATTTGAGAATAATTCATTTAAAAAAAAAATGTTTTCCTCTTATATAAAGAAAATTTGCACAGTAAAAAGTGCATCAAATTATACAATGCAGTTAAAATACAAAAATATTTTTTTTAAGAAAAAAGGAAGTATAAAAATCGCCACAATAATAATAATAATAAATACAAGATAAGAAAAAAAAACAAAAACTCACCTGTACTCCAAGCGCTGCCAGCGACAAGAATTACAATAAAAAAAACTAATGTTCTCCTAAAAGAAGGCCATGTTGCCTGTCGAAAATATTCCCAATGTTGTTTATTCATCATTATGCTTGGCAGTTGTCAAATATAAAAAATTCTCCTGCCAAGCTTTTTTTTCCTCCTTTTTTTCGCCACTTCTTCTTCTTTTTGTTTACAATAATTAACAACAATTGTACAAAATTCACTTTAATTCACGTTGTTGTTGTTGTTGTTGTTGTGATGGAAAAACCCGCGAATCATTTTTCTTCGAAAGAATTCGCGCACTACACACACGAAAAAGAAAACTTCTTTTTTTTTCCTTATTTCTCAAGTGTTTTTTTTTTCCACTACTGTTCTCTGTTAAAACCCGTCACCCGCACCGACAACACCTGGCAACGGCGCATTATTTCTTTAAACGACGACGGGACCCTTGGTTGTTGTTCACCATTTCACTTGCGCTCACAACAATAGAAAAAGTCCCTTGAAGGTAGAAAACCATTGTCGCGCACAAGAGAAGGGCAAAAAAAAAAAAAAAATTTTTGGGAATTTATGCCTTTTTCACACTCCTTCGCTTGCGAAACAGAAAAAAAAACCACTTGTTGCACGTAGCAAAAAAATGCGGATCTCACATATATAACACACACATACACGTGTTAACACTTTTTTTTCTTCTTTTCAAGAGCACAAAAAACCACTTTAATCCTTTTAACAAATTTTGTTCCAAATTCCCCGTAACTTGGTGGAAAAAATTCCCTATTTCACAATTTTAATTTAGTTATTATTTTTCTATGTTCATATATAACAGAAAAAAAATTGACACGTTGCTCGAGACCGCGCGCGACACAAATTCAGGTAAGAGGGCACGCTTTGACGTTCACCTGGGTGCAACCTGGCAACCCTGCGAAGTAAGCCACCTGGCTCCGAAGATAAAACTTTTTTTTTTTTCTTCTTCACGAGAAAATGAATTTCACCACTTTTTCGCGAGGGTAATTAATTTAATAAACTTTCAATTTATTTATTTAATAGTAACACACGTGTTTTAGTTAATTAAGAATTAAAATTCATTACCGAACCATATCGTTTTGTTAGCATCGCTACCGCAACGGTTCTAAACATTCTTTGCTCAGAATGCAAGTCGAAAATTGTGTTACTGCGCATGACAATAAGAGGGGGTTATTTTTCAACCAATCGCATGACACTTGGCCAATGTTTTGTTTCAAACAACGTTGATTGGTGGGGAGTGACGAAACATGTCCAATTTTCACCACTCACGTGACATCTAGCGCTGATGTTTGAATTTTATTCGTCGGTATTACCAACCTATGGTAAATAAAAAAAATGTTTATTTGAATTTCGCGCGAAATTCAAATAGTTCGAGTAGAAACTCAAAGGGGGCGTAACGTTTTTGAGACTATTTTTAGTGTCACAGTAAATAATAATAATTAATAAAAATATACTCGTTAAAATAATATGAGAAATTAGTTGGAAAAAATAATAAAGATATTGTTTTTTCAATTTTTGTGTTAATAAATAGAGAAAAAAGGTTTGTAGGTTAATTTTTACTACTTTTCCAGTATAAAGTAAGAATATAACCTATAAAATTTTTTGTTTTTTTTACGCCACGTTGTATAATAATATTTATCGTAAAAAAATTGTTTTTTTTCAAAAGAACAAGAGATAAAAATTTAAGACGATTTTTTTATCGTACGTAAATTTTATCTGTTTTTTTTTTTTTTTTAATAATGATGCAATTTATTTTGATAATTGTCAAATTTTTCGCAATTTAGATGGGTGTTGACAAAGCCGCTCCTCCCGCAGTCGAAGGGTAAATTTTCTATATATATTTATTATTTTATGGATAAAAAATGAATTTTTTTATGCAATTTAATTGAATTACAATCAAATTTTGTTGATTTTTATTTATTTTTTCAATAGAAGTATTTAATATTTGGTTTTTTTCGAATTTTTCTTTTTTGAATTTTTATAGGACTGAAGTATGTAACGTTAGAAAAAAAAATTTACGAATTTCAAATTTACATTTTTCCGACTAATTTAAAAAAAAAACAAGTTAACAAAGTACGAAATTGTTAGAAAATGCAAATAACAAATTTAAAATAAAAAAAAAGAATCTTTTTATTTTTTAGATTCAAAAAGAAAAAAATATAAATTAAATTAAAATATTTTTAAATTTTGTAAAAATCAAAAAAGTTTAACTGAAAAAAAATTTAATATAATTTTCATTTATTGATATTTTTAATAATTAAAAGTATATTTAATAATAATAATAATAATAATAATCAGGATAAAAAATTTAATTTAATTTTAGTAATGCACCATCGAAAAAAGCTTTAAAAAAATCAATGAAAGAGGCCGAGAAAGCAGCTAAAAAAGCGGAACATGCGGCAAAACGTGTATGTTACATAAATAAATTTTATATATTTAAATATATTAATTAATTAAACAAATGAATTTAAAATTTTAATTTAATTTTTAATTGAGAATTTAAATTATGTTTAAATTTAATTATTTTAAATTTAAACTCAAATAAAATTCTCAATTCTTTGAAAAAAAAAAATAATAAGCAATCAAATTAAATTTAAAATAAATGCGATTAATTTAAATTTATTAGAAAATTCAGTTTTAATTAAAATTTGAATTTTATCTAATTTAAATTTAAATTCAATTATTTTAAATTTGAACTAAATTTAAATTTAATTCAAATTTTCCAGTAATATAATTTAATTTAAATAAAAAATAATGAAAATAAAAATTATTTATTCAAAATAAAAATAATAAAAATTGTATAATAATAATTGTGGAAAAAATAATTTTTGCATTCCTTTTTTTTTCCCCCAAATTAAAGGCGGAACAAGAACCGGTTACAAATGAAGAGGACGTGTCTAAGGAACGATATGGATTTTTAAAAATGATTCGAAGTGAAGAGTCACACGCGGAGAGAAAATATGTTGATATTAAAGAATTAAATTCAAAACGTGTTGATCAAATTGTTTGGTTACGTGGTCGTTTACATACGAGTCGAGCAAAAGGTAAAATACCTCCAAAAAAAAAAAAAAAAAACTAATTTTTTTATTCTCATTCCATTTTTTGGATATTTAATTTCTTTCTTTTTTCTTCTAGGAAAACAATGTTTCATTGTTATAAGGCAACAATCATATACGGTACAAGGTCTTGTGGCTGTTAACGAAAAAATTAGCAAGCAAATGATTAAATTTATCTCAAAGTAAGAATACCAAAATTTATAATATTAATTTTACTAAATTATTAATATTATTTAAATATTAACATTAAAATAGTAAAAGAAATTAAAAATTAATTAATGAATTAAAAATTAACAGAAATATTAATAATATAATTTTTTTTTCCACAGCATCACTAAGGAATCGATAATCGATGTAGAAGCGCGTGTTGTGACTGTTCCATTAAAAATTGAATCATGCTCGCAAAACGATTGTGAAGTTCATATTGAACAAATTTTCGTTGTTAGTGCAGCAGTGCCACAACTTCCATTGCAAATTGACGATGCTGCGCGACCCGAGGGCGATGAATCGGGACCCGCAATAAAAGTCAATCAAGACACAAGATTGGACAATCGTGTTCTTGATTTAAGAACGCCGGCAAATCAGGCAATATTTCGAGTCGAGGCAGGAGTTTGTAAATTATTTCGCGATATTCTCGATAAAAAGGTGCTTTCATTTTTATATTAACAAAAAAAAAATTATTCAAAATTTTATTTCGTTTTTCTATTATTTTTTTTTTAAATAATAATTTATTTAATTTTTTCTTTTTTTCAAGCGAGTGTAAAAATATTTTTTCTCTTTTGAAATTTAAATTGTGAAATTCAATTTTTTGCAGGGTTTTGTGGAGATTCACACGCCAAAAATGATTTCAGCGGCGAGTGAAGGCGGTGCTAATGTGTTTACTGTTTCATATTTCAAAGGCTCAGCTTATTTAGCGCAATCACCTCAACTTTATAAGCAAATGGCAATTGCTGCCGATTTCGATCGTGTTTACACAATTGGCGCAGGTTTATATTTATCTCTCATTTCTTTTATAAATTAAAAACAAAATTAGAACTCAATGAAGTAATTAATTTTTGTTTTTTAATTTAAAAAAGAAAAATAAAATAAATATATAAATAAATAAGAGAGAAAAAAAAGAAAAAGAAAATTGATAAGAAATAAAAATAGTAAAAATAGAAAGAAAAACTTTAAACAAATTAGTATTGAATTTATTTTTGCAGTTTTCCGAGCTGAGGATTCAAATACTCATCGACATTTAACGGAATTTGTTGGCTTAGATTTAGAAATGGCATTTAAACATCATTATCATGAAGTTGTGGATGTTATTGGACAAATGTTCACCGATCTTTTTAGAGGACTTCGTGACAAGTAAAAAAAAAAAAGAGAAATTATTCTTTTTTTTTGTATAATCATTTAAAATTTGATTTTTTAAAATTATTGTTTATAATTGTCTTGATAAATTATTGTTCAATTATTTCTAATTATTTTTATAAAATATTGTTCAATAATTTAAAATTCTTTTTTATAAATTATTATTTAATTACCAATAATTTTTTTATGAATTATTATTTAATTATTTATATAATTGTATTTTTTTTAAAAATTCTTTATAAAAAACAAAATTAATTTTTTTTGTTTTTTTTTTTTAGCTACGCCGACGAAATTGCGGCCGTCAATCAACAATATAAAGTAGAACCATTCAAATTTTTGGATCCACCATTAAAACTGGAATTTTCAGATGCAATTAAATTACTCGCGGAGGCTGGTGTCAAACTTGGTGAGGAAGACGATTTATCAACACCCGACGAGAAACTTCTTGGAAAACTCGTCAAAGCGAAGGTAAATTTTTTTTATTATCTACGAATGTTTTTCATTATTTAATTAATATTATTATTATTATAATTTTTTTTAGTACGACACTGATTTTTACATTTTGGACAAATATCCACTTGCTGTTAGGCCATTTTATACAATGCCCGATCCAAAAAATCCGGTAAGAAAAATAAAAAGAAAAAAATTCCTCTTTGATTTTATTTTAAAATAATTTTTTTTTCCTTTAATGTGAAAAAAAAAAATGATCAAATATATTTACACAATTTTCAGAAATCTTCCAATTCATACGACATGTTTATGAGAGGCGAGGAAATAATTTCCGGAGCTCAAAGAATTCACGATTCACAATTTTTGACTGAGAGAGCAAAACATCACGGAATTGGTAAAGATAACAAAAAATTACTAATAATTTTAAATAAACTAAATATTAAAAAAAGTGTGTTTTCTTTTTTGCTTTTTATAGATATTGAAAAAATAAAATCATATATTGACGCTTTTCGTTATGGATGTCCACCACATGCTGGAGGTGGAATTGGAATGGAACGTGTTGTAATGTTATATCTTGGATTAGACAACATAAGAAAAGTTTCAATGTTCCCCCGTGATCCAAAACGTCTTACGCCATAAAGTTTTTTTTAAAAATTTTTTTTTCATGGACATTTAAAAACGCAAATTTATATACTTTTGAAAAAATAAAGTTGTGAAATAATTAAATATCTTGATTATTATTATTATTACTATTTTTATTATTATTATTTATTATTATTACTATTTTTATTTTTGTTTACTATTATTATCATTATTTTTTTTCCAAGTTCGACTAATTTAAAAAAAAAATTTATAATTCACAGGCAATAAAAAATTAATTTATTTTAATCATTCAATTATCTAAAATAGATCGCTTATTATTATATTTGCTAAATATATGGAAAATTGACATATTTTCTGCCTCTCTTTAATATTCTCTCTCTCCCCCTCCCCCCTCTCTGGAAAAAGATTGCATCGCTTTTATATAAATATAAACTTGCAGTTTCGAAAACTTTGCGCGCGAGAGTATCAAAAATAAATTTTCCCCTCAGTTTAATATTTGTCATTCTCGAGGAAATATCTGAAAAAAAAATCCAATTGAAAAAAAAACCCTTTTTTTAAATAATAAATTTTACGACTAAAAAAATTTATAAATAAAAAATATTTTTCTATAAAAAAATTGTTTCTGCAAAAAAAAAAATTCTATTTCTCATATAAAAAAAAAAAATATTCGCAAAATAAAAAAATTTCGTTTACTCCAAATTGTCAAAATCAGCTGATATCTGTCAAAAAAAAATACACACGTGGTTCTAATAACAGGAGAGAAAGAGAGAGAGAGAGAGAGAATAGAAAGAATTTTTTCTTGTATGGGAAAGAAAGAAGGAAAATAAAATTTTGTCTTCTCCCTTCCTCTTTCTCTCGTGTGAGAGAGATAAGATACAGATGGAAGCTGACAACCACGTGACACATTATATTTAAAAAGAAAGAAAAAAAAAAAAAATTAGTACAGTTCATGACAAAAATTTTTATCTCGCGTTTTTAAAAACTCGCGGCGCGCGCGTTCACTGGTAAATGCGCGAGTGAAGGAAGAGAGGATTCGTCATTCAACCATTTGAGTTTAGTTAAAGAAATATGTGAGCTTGAAAGCGCGTGTTGAACACCTGTTGCATATTTTTCCGAATAAATATAATAAAAGCATGACCCATTTGTTGAAAAATCTCACAAACAGCATCTGGCATGCGTTTCATGCATTGCAAGCTGAAGATGCATTTGTTGTTGCAAAATCAAAATTAAAGGTGGGTCTATATATATATATATATATTATTATTAATAATAAATAATTATTATTTCGAATCGCTTTTTTTAATTGCACTGTAATTTTTATTTTATTTTATTTATTGTATTTTTTATTTAATTGTAATTTATGAAAAAAAAAAAAATTTGTTATAAGAGCCACCGCGAATGCTTCAGTTTCCAAATTCGGGTGTGGTTTATTTTCAACTCGACCTCGACCCCCTAATTTCTTTTTTTATTTACAAATATTTCCTTTTTTTTGTATAGACTAGGGGAAAAAATAATACTGTCAATAATAATAATAATATAAAATCGAGAGAAGAAAAAAATAAAATTAACAAAAAAAATTTTAAACAATGTAAAAACTATTAAAAAAAATTTTTTAAATATAAAATTCATTAGGTAATTTTATTTACGCAAAAATTGAGAAATTACCATCAAAAAATTTATAATTAAATTTTTTTTTTTAAATAAATAATTTATTTTCTTAGTACTAAATGTAATTTGTAAATTGTAAACAAAAAAAAATCAATTTTTATTTAATATTAAATTTTTTTAAATTAATAAAATAATTATTTTTTTTTTAGGTTTTAACCGCGAATATTGGAACATTAATGGACCTCTATGGAATTGAAAAAGGATTGGAACATTATCGAAGCACGCAAACTTTAACATTCGAGCAATACATCTATTATCTACAAAAAGAGGTAAAAAAAAAAATAAATTTCTTTTTACATTAAAAAACGTATCGTTTTTTTTTCATCAAAGAATAATTATTGTTCTTTTCAAATTAAACTTTTTTTTTAAATAAAATTTTGATAAGAAAATATATTATTAATTTATTTTTAATTTTAAAATTAATATTAAAGAAAATGAATAAATTATTTTTTAGAATTTACAAAAAAAAAATTGATTCCTTTTTAAAAAGAATGAAAATTTTTTATCTTAAATTATTTTCAAATGGAAATTAATTCTATCGTTATCACACCATTTGAAATTAATGTCATTTAAATTGAATGTAAATTGACGATATTTCATGCGGAAATTAGTTCATTTTCTAAAAATAAATATTATTTTTTTTCAACAATAAAAATAAATAAAAATAATTTTCAAAAAATAAATTCGAATTGTCGGAGAAAAAAATAATATAAATTTCGAAAAAATAGAGAAATAAATAAATTTAAATTACAAAAAAAAAAATTATTTTTATTGTGTTTTTTTTTGGTAAAAATTAGAAATTTTGTTCGTTAAAAAAAATTTTGTGTAAATAAAAAAAAAAAATAAATATTTTGTCCCCTCCGCAAAAATAGGTTTTCTCGTCCCTCACAGAAACAACACCAATACAAACATGTCGTTCATTGGAAGAAGGAATTGACGAAATATGTTGGCTCGTTTGCCGAAAAATTTATTTAAATCGAACACATCCCATTTTTCAAGATCGTAGCGTTTATCAATTATTTCGAATATTTTGCCTTCTAGCCGAAATGGAAGCCGACGTCACGGATTCTTCATATTTGGTAACTTGATATTTTTTTTCCATCTTATTTTTATTTTATTATAAAAATTTCCATATTATTTATAATTATTTTACTTTACTTTTTCAATTTTTAAAATTGTTAATTTATTATTTTATTTCTGTTTTAATTTTTATAATAATAATAATAATAATTTTCAATTTAATTATCAGGTAACAGCGAATAGTGACGAAGTCGCGCGAATCGCTTCACAATTTGTAACTTCATTGGGTTTAAATTGGGATCCTTTGGATTTTTCAGCTTTAGCCGCGGCAATTGGCAATTTTCGGTAATTTTAATAAAACAGTTTTACCATTTTTAAATATTTTTTTATTGCAAAATAATTTTTTTTTAATTTGAATTTTTAAAAATTACTTTTAATAAAAAAAAATTGTTTAATTTAAAAATAATTCCTTTTTGTTTTTATTACTAAAAAAAAAAAAAAATTAGATTTCCTACGTTCCTGGCAGTTTTGGAATCGAAATATTCCGGATGTGGAACCGTCGATCCCGCAGCATTAACGGAAGCAATCGACGACATGTATCAAACATATGTCGAGGATGTACTCAAAAAAGTAATTTAAAAAAAAATTTATTTTTCTTAATTTTTATTATTAAAAAAAAATTTTTTAAATATTAATTTCAATTATTATTTTTCTCACCAGGGTTAGAAAAAAAAAGTTATTTTTTTGTCAACTAGAATGGAAAATAATCATTTCCCCCCCCCTAGAGTTGGTTATTTTTACGCACACTAGGGTAGAAAATAAATTTATTCCCCAGAGTTAAAAAAAAATGGTTACTTTTACCCACTAGTGTGAAAAAAAAACAAACTTTTTTACTCCCTAGTTTCAAAAAATATTAAATATTTTCCCTTGAAAAAAAAATTGTCATTTTCAATCACAAGAGTGTAAAATAATCACCTTTCTTCCCTAGGTGCTAAAAATATTTATTTTTCTCTATAATTAGAAAAAAAAATAATTATTTTTTATCCGCACAAGAATGGAAAATAATCAAATCTATCTCTAAATATAATGAAATAAAAAAAAAAATTTTTTTTATTTTAAATTAAGGGTTACTTGATGAAAAAAGGATTTCTACTGCCGACATTTCGTTATTTTTGGTTTGTCCTACGTCCTGGTGAATTGACATACTATAAAGATTCACAACATAAAGAACCATCGGGTATTATTCCATTGGATTTAAATTCATGGGCAGATGCCGCTTGCAATGGTGGTAAACCTGATCGTCGATTTATTCTCAGTACACCGGAACATCGTGGCATTGAACTTGGTGCCGAGGATCATCGTGGACGTTTACAATGGTTGTCGGCAATTCAAATTGCCATTCAACATTCAACGGAGAAAATTGGTTATCAACGAACACTTGCCTATCAACGAAGATCATGTCGTCAGGTATTTTTAGCCATTTTTCTATATTTAAATATGCAATAATGGCACAATATGATAAAATTTATCATTTTGTGCCATTTTAGTTAAAAAAAAGCTATTTTACTCTATTGGATAATTTTTTTTTCCTCGCAGGCAACGAGGCAGGAAAAAGATGAAACTCGTTTGGAACTTCAACACGAGCGACAGGCGCGAATTGCCGCCGAAATTCAGGCACGTAAATTAGAGGCAATCTCAAAAGAGGAAAATGCAAAAGTCCAAGAATTAGAGGACGTTAAAAAAAAACTTGAAATTTTATTGCAAGAGGAAAAACAAGCTCTGCGAGATGAAGAAATAGGTGCTGCAAAAAAAAAAAAAAAATTTCTTTTAATTAGAAATTTTTTTGAAATTAAAAAAAAATATTTCTAATTTTTTAAATTAATTTTTTTTTTTTAATTCAAAAATAATTTTTTCAGTGAGAGGATTGCAAGCGCGAGTTCTTCGCGAGGAATGGGAAAGACGCGAAGAATTGGAAAGATTACAAAAAGAGCAACAGGATCTTTTGGAATCGGAAAAAATGAAACGCCTTGAATTTGAACGTCAACAAGAGGAAAATGAAAGGCAACTTCAAGGTGGAATTTTTTTTTTTTTTTTTTTATCTATTTTCTACTTTTCCAAGGGTTAAAAATATTACATTTTTTTCCCTAGGATTTGTGAAAAATAATAATTTTTACTCCCATAGTGTGGAAAATAATTACTTTTCTCCCTAGGGATTGAAAATATTTATTTGTTTCCTTAGAATTAGAAAAAAAAATGCTTCTTTTATCCACTAGGGTGGATTTAATTACAAATTGAAATTTAAAAAAAAATATATATTTTTTAGACGCGGAAATTCGTCTTCAACAATTGCAAGCCGAGAAGGAAAATCTTGACGCGGAATTACGAACGGCACGTGAAAAAGTGAGACGCGCTGAGGAGGCACAAATTTTACTTGAAGCCGAAATAGTAACGGTACGTCCAACAAAGGGACGAGAAAGAATAAGACGTACGCAAAGTTTCATTCCAACGACAAAAGAAAAGCCATTATTATTTGAAAAATTTGAGGAACGCTCATTAACACTTCGCAAACATTGTTAATAATTGTGTCATTATTATTATTATTATTATTATTCATTAATTTTTCACGCTCGCTGGACGTGCTTTGAATGCTCAAAAAGAAAGCGTTGTTTTAAGGACAAATTTATCAAAATTAATTCCCTGAATGTGAAAATTTACCACCAGGCTTTAAAATAATAATTTTTCTCTCTAGTGACACAAACACGAATTTTTCTCCCTAGCGCTAAAACATAATTTAAAAATAAAAAAAGGGATTTAATTTTGATAATGTCGAATTTATTATATTTAAGAAACGAAAAAAATTTTTTTTTCATTGCCAAACTCTACCAAACAAAAAGAAAAAAATATATTTTCTATTACTTTTAAGAATCTATTTTTAGAATTTTTTTTTTCTCTTTTTTTTTGAGAATGTTTGAAAAAATAATGGAAAAATTTTTTCCAATCTGCAAAAATTTATTTTTATATCAATTTTGTTGCGTCTATATTAAAATTTATTTTCAATTATATTATTATATATAATTATTAAAAAAAAATTATTTGTTAAATAATATAATTTTTTTGAATGTTTATTTAAATGCTCTCTCACTGTAATTTTTCTCTCTCTACTTTTTTTTTTCTTAACTGATGCTTATAATTATAAAAAATAAATGGATAAATAATTTAAAAAAAAGAAAAAAATTTTAAAAAATTTAATTTTTATATTTTTTTGTTAATAAAAATTTCGATCCGATTTTGTCAAGTAAAAAAAAAAGAAGAGAAAAAGACTTTGCGATAAATATATAAATTGTAATGTTTGTCACTATGACAATAAGAAGTAATTAGGAGACATCGACCAAACATTGTCGGCTTTAAATTGAAATTGAAACGAGCTTTTTATATATAAGACAAATTGAAATTAACCGAATGTGTAATTTATATAAAAAAAAAGAAATTATAAAATAAAAAATATACAAAAAAAATTTTCTTATTTATATTCAAAAAATAATTATTAATAATTTTGCAATTAATATCAATTTTCAGTTTCAATTTTTAAACTCAATATTTATTATTTTAATTAATTAATAAATTAAGATAAATTTTTTTAAAATTTCTTTTCTTTAATAAAAATATTTAATTTATAAAGTAAATTTGAAAAAAAAACAGGAAAATAAAATTTGAAAATTTATTAATAAACAAAATTAAAAATATTTAATAGTACCTAATTTTTTTTATATTAAAAAATTTAGAATTTAAAAAGAAAATGGCGGGAAAGAAAAAAAGTAAATCTTCAAAATTAGCTCGAATGAGCGATGAAGAACGTGCTCGTTATTTGCAACATCGAGCTGAAATTGAATTAGAGGCAAAAAGACGAAAACAAGAATTAATTGCAGTATTTATCAAGGTAAAAAGATTTTCAATTTAATTAATTCTTCAATTTTTGTTTTTGTTTTTTTTAATTTTCTTAATTTATTTCTATTAAAAAATAGAAAAATAAATTGAGCTAATTTTTTATTTATAAATAATTTATAATTATTATTGAAAAATAAATTTTTTTTTGTTCAATTCAAGAACAAATTAAAAAGAGAAGACGCATTTTCACGAATAAATACAGCAAAAATAAATGAACAATGGCGTTTTATATTGAGAAAAATTAAATGTAAAGAATTATACGAGGATGTTGAATATTTGTGGAAAAATTTTGTTCAATCAGTAAATGCAAAAGACGCTGTGATTAATTATTTGTGTGAACAATTGGAAATTGCCGATATGGATCATCGACGATTGCAAGAGGGACACATTGACATTATTGATACTTTAATAGGTAAAAAAAAAAAAAATTCCAAAACAATTTTCTTGTTTTTTAAATTCAGATATTTTCAAAAAATATATATATACAATTTTTCCAGTGAGAGGCAAAGAACGTTTGGAAGTTTTGCGAAAAACCTATATTCAATCGCTGAATAAAATTGAAATGTCCGATAAAATTGAATTTCAAAATTTAAAAGAAATTCTAAAAGACGATACAAAAAATATTGAAAGAATAATTTTCTCTCAACAAAAATATATTGAAAAAATAATTAATGACACAAAAATTAGAAATGCTGTACGGACCTATAGCATTGAATATTCGGTATATTTTAATAAAATTAAAATTAATTAATTATTTTTTTTTTTTGGTGTAAAATAAATTTTTTTTTTTTCTTTTTCAAGAAACAAGACGATATGTTGGAGATAAAAAGAAGTATCGATTCAGTGATGGAAATACAAAATTTAGAATTACAAAAAATAATATCCAACTATGAATCATCAACTGAGAGTAAAAGGAAACAATATGAATATTTAAAAGAGCAGGACGATGCAATTATTCTTGAATTTGCCCAATATCCAAAAATATATTCACAATTATTTGAGACAATGGAAAATTTAAAAAATGAAACCGAAACAATGAAATGTGAACGTGAAGAAACAATTGTCGAATTAAAATCACAATTGGAGAGATTGTCGAATAAAATTTGGAAATTGAGACAGGATATGAAATTAATGCAAACAATCGATACATTACAATTGAAACGTCTAAGTGTCACGAGTGGAAATATCATAAAGGTTTAAATTTTAAAAATTTTTTTTTCGATAAAATAAGATTAATAAATTTAATTTAAAAAAAAAACTCACCAATTCCTTTGTTTTTTTTTTTGCAGAATCTCGGGGGACTTTTGGAGAAAAGTTGTACAATTGAATTTCTAACAAAACTTTGCGCCGATCTTGAGCCACCTTTGTTGATTAAAAAATATTCTGTAAAAGACACCGAGGCGACGAAAGAAATATTAACCACTGGAGTTAGTTGAAAAAAATAATTATTAAAATAAAATAAATAAATTAAAAAAAAATAATAATTAATAACAATTTAATTTAAATAAATTATTATTTATTTATTTAATAAAATGAAAATAAAATAATTGGAACTTTTTTTTTTAATTTGAATAGAAAGCCAATTTTTTTTATTAATATTTTTTTTGTCTTTTGCAGGTTATTGATCTCTATGATAATATGGAAAATTTTTGGCAACAAATAAATCATGTGAAGGCTGAAAATATTTTAATGAAAGAAGAACGCGCGCGACTAATGTCTGAAAATAATCATTTGCGAAATAAACTTCGCACATACCTGATATCAGTATCACGAAAAATCCCATTGATTTGAATTATCAAATAATTTATCACATCCACCATTTCCTCTTATCATTAAATCTTCTCTCTAAAATCACTCGTCTTCGGTGGGGAAAAAAAACAAAAATACAAAATAAAAAAAACCATTTAAATAAATAAATTTTAAGTCTATTATTATATAAAAATTATTTTCCTAATTTTATGAATGGGAATTAAAAGAGGGAATTGTAGGTTGTATACAATTCTTAATTTTTGTATATCAATTTTTTTTTTATTATTATTAAAAAAATATTATCGATGAGTAAAAATACCTCCGCCTAGTGCAACATATTTATAAGGACGTGCTCGTGTTCTTCCTTTAACTGGATAGAAGAAAATTTTCTCCCTTGTTGCTCGTCCTTCAGTTTCAAGGAAAATATCAAAACATGCACGTAATCGTTGTATTTGTGCTGTTATTGTTGGTTGTTTTTCCCATATGACATTTATTTCACGTTCCATGTCGCGTATCACATCAGTTGTTACATGAATTGTTGGACTCATACTGATACTAAATACCGGCGTTACTTTTGGATAATCAGGTTTTATTGCAATACGTGCAATAAGTTCATCTAAAAGAAAATTTTATTTCATTCCCTTTTTCTTTTTTTTTTATAAACAATTTTATGCAAGATTTGAAATTATCGATCTTTAATTAGTAGGAAACGTAGTGTTTGCGTCAAAAAATATTTTTTTTGAATTTTTTGAATAGAAGAAATTTTTATGGTAAAATCATGCGCCCTAGTAAAAAAAGAAATTGTAATTATTTGTTTTTTTTTTCAAAAACTCACTGTTATCACGTCGAAAAATGGCTTCGTAAAAGAAATCCACGGAATTGACTAAACCCTCACGACAAAATGAAGGAGTCTCTGGATTATTGCAATAACTTCGCCACGAAAGTGGAACAAATTTATATAAATTTGTCGATATTTTCAATGGCATTGGATCTGATGTTTCACTGACAATTGACAAATTTCCCATTTCCAATTGATGAATTTCAGTACATAATGCTAAACGTGCCTTGACACGTCGTTTTACTTCTCTTATAACATTTTCAATATTATCGTGCGCAAGTTGTTGGCTTGTTACCTATACAAAAAATTACAAAAAATTTACGTAAAAAACATTTTTTAAAAAAATTATTAATTTTACGTTAATTTAATCTAAAATTAATTTAATTTAAATTAAGAAACTTATTTTCAAATAATGATAATAATAATAATTTTTCCGATAATTAAAATTTATAGTTATATTTAAAATTAGTTGATTTTTTCTTCTTACATTTGCCCTTTGCTCTTGAACGTCGGGGGCATCGAAATAAAGTCCCGCCATTCTTTGCGCCCATTTATAGGGATAACCAAGACCCAATGAATGAAATGCTCCAAGTCTATGTTTTTCCAATTGATAATGATTTGCCGGATTTGGCGAATCTAATCCCAAATCTTTTGGATAAAGTTCACGTAATATTGATTCTGATATCAGCATATCACTGCAAAAAAAAAATAAAAACTATTATTAAACTATTTAAAAAAATAACAATAATAATAAAAAATAATTTTCTGACTTTATTTGCAATAATAATTTTTTTTTTTTTTAATTAAAAATTAAAAACAGGACGGGAAATTTGAAAAAATAATAAAAATTAAAAGAATAGTAGTATCAAAAAAAGGAAGTTTTAAAAAAAATTAAATTTTCATTTCTTACCCAGCTGAAACGCCGCCAATATCAACATTCTCCAAATTTGACTCGACAGTTATAACTTTCAAAATAGTCAGATAGTAAAATTGTAACGTCAATTTTGTATCTTCTGAAAAATAGAAAAATTACAAAAAAATTAAAACAACAAGAAAAAATAAAAAAAGAAAGAATATTTTTTTTTAAGTACTATTAATATAAAATTAAATAAATTCTAAATTATACTATATTTATAGTAAATAAATATTTGTACTTGAAAAATTAATGATGATCTTAACGCTGAGTGGATGTCGTTGAAGAAGTTTCGATTTTTTATCCTCTTGACGCGCCTCTTTTGACATTCGATGATGACGTTTCTTGTGAACCGGCGCCTCTTCAACAACATTGTCACCTGCATTTTCCGCATCGGAATCCGATTCTTGGGGTCTCTCTTGATTATTAGTTCGTTGTGCCTCGTCCTCGTCGCCCTCAATCGTCACAATCAATGAGGAATCTATAAAATATTTCCATTTTCGATATTTATTTCACAAAACTTTTCCTTTTTTTTTTTAAATTCAATACTAAATATTTATTTCACAAAATTATTATTTTTTTAATTAAATGCTATTGTCATATTAAATAATAATAAAATCTATTAATAGAGAAATGAAAAAAAAAATTCTCACCGTATGCGTCTCGATAGGCAGAAGTTTTTGCATAAAGAACATAGAGCGGTGATGACAATAAAGCAGCCATTTTATGTTCCTGACGAATTTTATCCAACGGAAGACCAAGACTTTCTTGTAATGGTTTGCTTGCCTAGAGAAATAAAAAATTGTTTATTTCTTCAAAAACATAAATTATGAATTGTAAAAGGAAAATTGGTTTTCTAAATCGAAAAAATTTATATTTAAAAAAAAAAAAATAATATAAAAATTTCTTTTTAAAAATTCATTTTTTGAAAGAAAATTTTAAAAATAACTTACTTCCAAAATTGTACGTAGCTGTGGAGCGAGATTATCCAAACGAGCTTGTTTTTGTTCAATACTTGAAGCAACGCCTTTTTTACTTTCCGTGAGTTCATCACAAAATGATGACAATTGTTTTCTCTGCGTTAATTCCCATTCGAGACGTGCCAATTTTAATTGATGTTCATCTTTTTTAGTTACTTCCTTCAATGGGAAAAAATTATTTTTTTTTTAAAAAATATTTTCTCATTTAAATTGACAATTTAAATAAATAAAAATAAAAAAAATAATTAAAATTATTAATAAAATAATAAATAAAAATAATTAAAATTACTCACAGGACGAGAAATTGTTTCGGGCGCTTCTCGATAAAATTCCTCCTCGGAAACTAATTCAATCATTTCGTCTTTGGATCTGTGGAAAAAAAATAATTATTTAATTTGCACAACAAAAGTAATAACTTTTTTTTTTGCATTTTTTAAAAAAATTTATTTGAATTTATTTCAACGTATAAAATTTTAAAACTTACTTAAATTGCAAACATTTCATGACTTCTTTTTTTAAATGCATCACTTCGTAGAGTAAATTTTGTAAATGCAAATGTCGACTATCGACATTACTTTTTGCACTTGCAAGTGAATCACGTGCAAATTTTGTCCGAAATTTTTCCATTCGATTCAATTTTTTCAATTCAATGAATGCCAACGATGTTTTTATTTGCAATTCACTTATTTCCTCTTTTGCCTGGGAAAACAAATTTTTTTTTTTAATTGCTTTTTATTTACATTTATTTAATAATTATTATATTTATTTAATTTAATTTTTAAAATATTAATAGTAGTATTTCTAAAAAAAGACTTTATTTAAATAATATTTTTTTAAAAATAATTTTTGATAAATTTTTACTTACTTTTGAATCATTACTAATTTTTAATTCCGCAATTCTCATCATTGCCTTGCGAATTTCTTCGCAAATATTGAGAAAAGTCTCAGAATCCTTGTCAGGAAATCTTTCCAGTGCTTCTTTTTCCTCATAAGTTATTATTGTCTATAAAAACAGTTTTTTCATTTTCTTTTTTTTAAAGAAAAATAATTTTTCAATAAAAATCGCAATTTTTACTCAAATTTTTCATTCAAAAAAAAATTAAAAATTTTTATTTACGAAATCGAAAAACGAAAATTTATTCCAACAAGATTCATTATTATCATTAATTAATAATTAAAAATGGCTTAAAATAAAGAAGTATTTACTTCATACATTATTAATTAATAATAATAAATTATTATTATCACTGTTTATAATTCAAAAATTAAAAATAAAAAAATTTGTGGTTATGTTCTACGAACAAAACAAAATTTTTCTATACTTATATATTAATTCATGTAAATGTTATTAAAAAATTGTTAGCTACTTAGTAAAATAACGAAAAAATTAATTATAATTCATAAATATCAAATAAATTACAAAAAAAAAAATCAAAAATACCTTATAAACATCTCCGTCTTTTATTGCCGTTGTCTCCACGGATTTTCTTCTTTTTTTCGAATGCTCAACATCACTTTCTTTCACCATTTTAATTTGTTTTTACTCGAAAACTGTAACAATTTGTAATTTTCCGTTTTTTAAAAAATACTATAAATAATAAGAAAATATTTATTAAATTTTTGTGTGTGCCGACAAAACAATGAGGTTATGTTTCATCAGAGTAAAAAATTGTAAACAAATGAAAAATTCAAGTTTAAGACATTAAAAAACATAAAGTAAATTAAAAAGAAACATTTTAGTTATGTTTTTAAGTACCTAAACTAATTATTTTGCTAATTAAACCGAAAAATATTGATAAAAACTTGTTGACAAACTTTTCTATATCAAAACTCGATTGATAATTGCCCTGAAGTTGGCAATGGTCCGTAATAGAAGGTAACGACATACGTAAAAGCGCGCGAAAATTCAAATCCAATGAAAAGATAATTTTTCCACTAAAAATGATTTTAATTAATTAAATTAATTATCTAAATTCATTTTTTTTTACTAACGTATCTGTTATTGAAAATAATAACTAATAAATTAAATCATTATTATATTTTACATTTATTTAAATAACAGTAATTTTTTTTTATTTTTTCTTAAAAAAATGTTTAAAAAAATATACTGTATAGTTTAAAAATAAATATAATATAGAAATATTATATAAACTAAATATAATATAATATACAAATAAATATAATATAAAAAAATCGGCAGTTACTATAATTAAAATTTAAAAATTTTTAATTAAAAATTTGTAAATTCAAGATAGTAATTGTTTTTTAAAAAAAATTGTCTTTTTTAAATTTCTAATTTAAAAAAAAAAACAGAATAAAAAAATATTTTGACCCCGACGTGATTTGAACACGCAACCTTCTGATCTGGAGTCAGACGCGCTACCGTTGCGCCACGGAGTCATCATGTTAACGATTTTTCACACCGTCGTTTTTAGTAGACGCTGACCTCGATTCACAAAAGAATTAATAATTAAACATTTTTTCATGAAAATAAAATAAAACAAATAATTTTTTACTAAAAAAGTTAAGAAAATTTTACTCTAAATATCATTTTTGAATATTTTTACGTTATTTTTTTTTTAAACCGACGCTATATCGATAATCGAATTATATTTTTACTCTCTCACTCTCATTGACTTCCGGTCGATTTTCCCGCTTTTAAATATGTCAAAAAAAAAAAATAACATACATATGTTTAATTTATTACTGAAAGGAAAATAATAATTTTATCGTCAAATTTCAAATATTTCGACAAATTAAAAGTTATTTTTTAAATGATTATAAGAAATTTTTTTAAGAGAAAATATTTTCTATACATGACACGTGACTTCCGTTATGGCGGCCGTTATTTTTAAACTGTAATGCTTTGTTTAATTTTATTTTTGTCCTTTCTCGTAAAAAAAAAAATAAATTGTTCTTTTCAATTATTTAAAAAAAGAATTAAAAGTAATTTTTTTAAATCTGTGTTTAAGGGAAACAATTTTTTTTTTTAAATAAAAGAATAATTTGAATGAACTTTCAAAATTTACAAACACAACTGTTTTCATGGCGTCATGGCGTCGCTTGTCAGGCGTTGATTTTTTTTGTCTGGTATTCATGTGCGTGAATTAAATGTTTATTGTGCGTGAATGTTGAAAATTGTTTATAGACAATTGACTATTAGTGTTTTTTATGTGTAAAAATTAATTAAAAGGTAAGTCATTGTTTAATTTTCTTACGATTAACAATATGAGAAATTACGCTCTCTCGTTTTGACAGGTTATGTGAAAAAATTAATTTTTCATACACAAAAAAGGATATAAATTTTTTACTTTACAATTACTTTTTTTGTTAGTTTTAATTTAGTTTTCAAGTTAATTTTATTATTTTCGTTTTTTTGGGGGAAATTTTTCATGGAATTTAGCGAAAATTGTGAATTTATTGGCGATGTTTTGATTCACCTAACCTCAAAAATTCGATAACTTTTGTTTCACGCGGGTAAATTTTTCTTTAAAAAAAAAAAAAATAATAATAAATAAAGAAAAAATAACAAGAATAGATAAATTAAATTTGTCACATTTTTTATGGAGTAATTACTTTTTCGACCAATTGTTATCGAGAAAAATTAGGTTAGAAAAATTTTCGTAAATAATCAATATGAATTTTTGTTTTTTTTCGACTTTGTAAATTTTCTAAGCTGTTTTTTTTTAGCTTTTTTTTGTGTATAATTTATATTTACCGATTAAAATAATTTATATTTTTAATTAATAAAATCTTGTTAATTAATTTTTTAAATTATTTAATCAATTGTAATTATAATTTTTCAAAAATTTATTTTTTTGATTTTTTTTAATATATTTATTTTAAATTTAATAATTTATCTGGATAAATATATTTATTTATTTATTGAGATTTAATCCAACAAATGATTTATTATTATGATAAATTGATTAATTTTTTTCAAAAAATTTTTCCAAAAAATAATTGATTCATTTAAATTTAATTTTTTCTAAAATTTAAACGATTTTTATATTAAAATTTTTTTTTTTGAAATAAATATTCGATAAATAATTGTATTTTAGAATTGTATTAAATTTACCAAAAAAAAATCGAATAAAAAATGTTTTTTTTTTCTGTAAAAAATAAAAAATTTTCTTTTTAAATAACTAAAATATGAATTATTTTTTTTTTTAAATAGAAAAGAATGGCACAAAAAAATCAACAAAACGTTGAAGATGATGAGGAAATGGAGGTTGATCAGGACGAGGATGCTGGATATCCATCCGATGAGGAAGGTGGTCTTAGAATTGATGACGAAATTTATATTCCACCGAGACCAACAGAATTTGGCGAAGTCGACACAACTGGTCCACGTTTAATGATAACTCGCATTAGTAATGTGAATTTTAAAAGTTATGCGGGAGAACAAATTGTTGGACCATTTCACAAGGTTTTAATTTAAAAAAAAATTTCGTATTTTTTAAAAATATTTTTCGTAATTTTTTAATTATTTTTTTTTAATTTTTCTTATTGTTTCCAGTGTTTCTCAGCGATTGTTGGTCCAAATGGAAGTGGAAAAAGTAACGTGATCGATTCAATGCTCTTTGTTTTTGGTTACAGAGCAAGTAAAATTCGTTCGAAAAAAATTTCTGTTCTCATTCACAATTCTAGTGAACATCTTAATGTTAAAAGTTGCACCGTTTCTATTCATTTTCAACAAATTATTGATAAGGTAAAACAAAATTTTCAATTTTAATTTACTATTACTATTATTATTATTATTAAATTATTATTTAAAAGAAATGGTTTTTTTCAGGAAGGCGACGATTATGAAATTGTTCCCAATAGTCAATTTGTAATTTCACGAACCGCTTTTAAGGACAGTTCCTCATATTATCAATTAAATGGTAAAAAAGTGGTTTTCAAAGAAATTGCCAAACTTCTTCGTTCTCATGGCGTTGATTTGGATCATAATCGATTTTTAATTCTACAGGTAATTTTTCTTTAAATTTTCGTTCCGAAATTAATTTTTTCAAAATTTACGTTTGCTAAATAAATAAAATGTCTTTTTTATTTTTAGGGCGAAGTCGAACAAATTGCCCTAATGAAACCAAAAGGCCAAGGTGAAGGTGATTCGGGCCTTCTTGAATTTCTCGAAGATATTATTGGCACAAATCGCTATAAAGAACCACTTGAAAAATTAAATGAAAAAGTCGAAATAATGACTGATCGACGCACTGAAAAATTACATCGTCTACGCCTTGTTGAGAAAGAAAAAAAAGATCTCGAAGAACCAATGCAGGACGCTGTACAATTTTTAAAAATTGAAAATTCCATTATAAAATATCAACATCAACTTTATCATCGTAAACGTATGTTGGCAAAACAAGAACTCGATGAAGAGGAGAAAATTCGTGAGAATCAAGAGAAAGAATACAATGAATTAATGGAAGAAATGAAAAAAATACACAATGAAAAAAATGAAAAACAAAAGGAATTCAAAGAAAAGGGTAAAAAATGGGAATTATTGCAAAATGAAAAAGATGAAAAAACAGCGAAATTCGATGAAATACGTAAAAAAGATCAAGCATTACAAGAGGAATTAGTTGAGACAAATAATCGACGTAAAAAAAATAAAGCATCAGTTAAAACTGAAATGTCAAAACTTGAAGAACTTGAAAGAATTCCTGAGAAAAATGCCAAAGATATTGAAGAATATGAGGAATTAATAAAAAAAAGTAGTGTCGAGAGAGAAAAAGAAGATGAGGCATTAAAAACAATGATGAGTAGTTTAAAGGAAAAAACTGAACCATTATTGAAGGAGCGTAAAAAACAAGAGACGGCGCTCATTGAATTTAGAAAAAAAGTTGATGAGGCAAAATCGGCATTTGATATTGCTCAATCTGAATTACAACTCTATACATCTGAGGAGGAGAAGGAAAAGGGGAAATTACAGCAATTACAAGAGGCTTTAACTAGGTTCATATATATTTGAATTTTTTCTCTTTTTTTTTTGCTTTTTCTCATTTTTTTTTTTGCTTTTTATTCTCTTTTTCTTTCTTTTTTTACTTATTTTTTCTATTATCTCTTGCTTTTTTTTAAAAAAATTTGAATTTTAAAGAGGGGAAAATTTTTTAAGTTGGTTTTTTTAAAGATCTGGTTTTGCCTCATATAGAAAAAGTATTTGAGGGACATTTTTTTTAACTTAATTTTTACAAAGAGGTATTCTTGCCACTAGAACATATCGGAAATTAAATCTCCTTTTAAAAAGAGATCTACATTATCTTTTTTAAGATAATTTAAAAAAATGGTATTCTCGCCACTAGAACATATGGGAATTAAAATCTCCTTTCGAGGAGAAATCTACATTATCTTAAGATAATTTAAAAAAATGGTATTCTTGCCACTAGAACATATGGGAATTAAAATCTCCTTTTGAGGAGAAATCTAGATTATCTTAAGATAATTTTAAAAAAATGGTATTCTTGCCACTAGAACATATGGGAATAAAATCTCCTTTAAAGGAGAGATCTACATTATCTTGCTTAAAATAATTACAAAAAATGGTATTTTTGTTTTTAATTAGGTTTACCTATTTAAACTTGCACTCTTCCATTATTTTTTTGCTTTTTTCATTTCTTTCCATTTATATTTTTATTTCTCTTTTCTTTTTTACTAAGTTCTTTTATATTTTTAGTCTATTTTTCTGTTTTTCTAATTAAACCGATTTTTTTTTGTAAAAAGTCTTAGGATAGTATATTTTTAACTTCATTAATTAAAAAAAAAATTTTAACTTAAAAAGTAACTTTTATAAATTAAAGTTTGTTTTTTAAATTTAAAGAAAATTTGTTGAAAGTTAAAATTTTGAAAAAAATACGCTTAAACTAAGAGGTTATGCTAATTTTTTTTACTAGATATTTTAAAAATTGTTTCTCAATTCATTTAAAAATTCTTTTTTAGGTTCTTTTTTTTAATTTTTCATTGAAAGCATTAACTTTATATTATTAAAATACTTTACTTTTTGACATTTAATATTACCTTAAAATAAATTACCATATAAGGTAAAAAATTTGGTTACAAAATATTTCAATGTATAATTTTTTTATCAAAGAAAAAAAATTACCATAACCTTATCGTTTAAGTGTCATGAGGAATTTTATCAGCTATAAAGATTATAGGAGGAAAATTTTTTTAACAATTTCATAGTAGTTTTAACTTTATCATTAAAAAGGGATTTTATATAATTTAGCGCGAGATTGAAAATAATTATTGCAGTAGAATAAAGTAATCTCGGATAGAAATTTCTCGAAAATTTTTTTAAATTCTCAGAAAAAAGTCGGGAATTTTAATAATAAATTTTTTGTAGAAATTTAAATCTTTCTAAGTATTTTTCCATTTGCGTGCATTCTCTTTTATTTTCTAATTTCCATTTTATTTTTGGCTCACGATATTAATTCTCCTGGTTTCGTTGTTTTCTTTTTCTCTTACCAGAACGATCGAGACATTGGAGGAGAGACGCAAACAATTACAGGAATTAGAGAAGAAAATTCCGGGCACAGAAAAAAGTCTCGCGGAAGTTGAACGTAAATTAGATGATATAAAAACGCGCGAAGCCGAAGCAACACAACGATTACGTGCAAAACGTGTACAATTTGATGAGCAAAAATCATCAATGCAAGCAAGTCGATCGCGAAATCGTGTACTCGACGCTCTAATGACAGAGAAACGTAAAGGACGTATGCCCGGTATATTTGGTCGTTTAGGTGATTTAGGAGCAATTGATGCGAAATACGATGTGGCAATATCCACAGCATGTGGTCCACTTGATAATGTTGTCGTTGATACAGTGAGTACCGCGGAAATGTGTATAAAATTTCTACGCGATAATGATCTTGGTCGTGCAACATTTATTCCCCTCGAGAAACAACAACGTTTTGCACAACAATGTCGTCAACGTATACAAACACCGGAAAAAGTACCGCGTCTCTTTGATTTAATTCAAGTTGAAGATGAAAGAGTATTGCCGGCATTTTTTTATTCATTGCAAAATACACTTGTTGCCGATGATCTTGAGCAAGCGACAAGAATTGCTTACGGTTCACAACGTCATCGGGTGGTTACGCTAAAGGGTGAATTAATTGAACTTGCGGGAACAATGAGTGGTGGTGGTCGTTCTTGTTTACGCGGTCGTATGGGTCAACGTGTCGTTAGAAATGAACCCAGTGCAACGGACATTGAAAATCTTCAAATTGAACTCGATCAACTCTTTACCGAGGCGAATCAACTTAAAATGCAACAAAATCCCCTTGAAAATCAACATCATACTTTAACGATTGCCCTTCGTGAAATGAAAATTGATCGCGATAAATTTAAAATCGAAGTACAAGCACTTAGCGAACAGGAACCACTTCTAAAGCAACAATTAAAAACCCAAGAAGCAAAAGCTAAAGCAGCGGTACCTGATCCCAAGAAGGTTAAGGAATTAACAAAAATTGTGACAGCAGCCGAAAAAACACTTGAAAATGCTGAGGAAGAATCAAAATCAACTGAAGATAAAGTGACAAAAATAAATAATGAAATCGATGGTATTGCCGGTAATCGTGTTAAATTACAACAGAAAAAAATTGCCGATCTTACTAAAACAATTGACAAAGCAAATGGTGAAATTGTCCGTCTTAATGTGGCAATTAAAACAGCTGCACGTAATACAACAAAAACACAACAAAGAATTGAAAGTCTTGAAACAGATGTCACAAATTGTGAACAACGTATATTAGCCGCAAAAAATGAAAAAGAAGAATTTGAAAAAATTGGCAAAGAATTGCTTGATGATTTGAAAAATTTAAATGATTCCCTACAAGAACGTGACGAAGCAACAGCTGAACTTAAAGAAATATTAAATCGTCTTCAAACAAATGAAAGTAAATTAAAATCAACAAAAATTGATTTTGATCAAAAGATTAATGAAATACGTAAGAAAATTGATGATTTAGGTCATAAAATACCGGAATTTACCAAAAGAATACGTTCACTTAAATTACATGATATTCCCGATTCACAACAAGAGGAATTAAAAGAACTCACCGATGAAGAAATAGAAGAGCTTGATGAAAAAACAATAGCATCAAATTTACAACGTGCTAAAGAAAGATTACCAGAAGAAATTCCTAATATGCAATATATCAAAGATTATCAGGAAAAAGATAAATTATATCTTTCGCGAGCTGCTGAATTAGATGAAATAACAAATCAAAGAAATAAATTACGTGATATTTATGAAGATGCAAAACGTCGAAGAATGGAAGAATTTCGCAATGGTTTTAAAATAATAACAACAAAATTAAAAGAAATGTATCAAATGATAACATTAGGTGGTGACGCTGAACTTGAATTAGTCGATTCTTTAGATCCATTTAGTGAAGGTATTGTTTTTAGTGTAAGACCACCAAAAAAATCATGGAAAAATATTAGTAATTTAAGTGGTGGTGAAAAAACATTAAGTTCATTGGCATTAATTTTCGCACTTCATCATTATAAACCAACGCCATTTTATTTTATGGATGAAATTGATGCGGCATTAGATTTTAAAAATGTTTCAATTGTTGGCAATTATATTAAGGAACGTACAAAAAATGCACAATTTATTGTCATATCATTGAGATTTAATATGTTTGAATTAGCCAATTATTTAGTCGGTATTTATAAAACTTATAATTGTACAAAATGTGCAACATTGGATGTTAATAAGGCATATAAAACACATTCAATAACACCACCTGTACAATTGAATAATAATAATAATGCACAGGCGAAAAATCGTTTTTTAACACAAACATCACAAAAAATGAGTCAACGTTCAATTGATCCTGATTTAAGAGTGTCACAGGATATAATACAACCAACGTGTTCGGATGTTATTGATATGCAAGATGAAACATCAGATAAAGCAAAAATAGATGACGATCCTCGTAATGAGTAAGAAAATTCTTTATTTAAAAAAAAAAAGATTAAAATTTTTTTGAATTTTGATTATGTAAAATATAAAATCGAATAATTTACAAAAAAATTTGTAAACTAAAGAAAATTCATTTTAAATATTTACTCTATTTTTTGATATTGAAATTTTTATTAATGACGAAAAAAAGTAAAATATATTTAAACATCAATAAAATGTTAATAATTAAATAAGCTAAATAATAATTCAATATTGTAATGTTTAAACAAAGGACTGACGGACGGACGGCTAAAAGTATAAAATATAAATAAAATATAATAATAATGATAAAAATAAAATATAAAACTAAATTTATTGCAATAATACAAAAAATTGTGTTTGTAATTTTTTTAATTCACCTTCCTATCATTATTAGTAAATGACATATTATTTAATGATAATAATTACTAATTTTTTAAAATTAAAATATATAATAATTCTAATTATTAAAGAATTAATTTTGTTCTTCTTAAATGGCAAATTATTAAAATTTTATTTAAATTTTTTGTTAGAGTCGAATATTTAAATAAATAATTGTAAAAAAAAACAATTATTTTACAGTTTGCCGGAAATTGATATTTTTCAAACACCGCGAAGAATTTCCGAGGGACGAGATAGACGATCACTTTTAAGAAATGAATTATTATCGGAAGATGAAAATCAAGAAAAATCCTCTGTCAATGAAACCAGTGATAATGTGGAACCACAACCGAAAAAAAGAAGATTACAACGTAAAAGATCACGTTAACATTAAATTCAATTCTAAATATATATATTTATAGTTGATTGTAAAGAACAAAAAAAATTATTTTTATGTTTAATTTGAATTTTTCTCTTCTATTTTGTTGATAGTTACGTATTTCCTAAAAAAAAAGAAAAATAAGTATTTAAAAAAAAAAAATAACGTCCAATGGACAATATTTTTTTACAATATGAAAGTATATATATATATATATATATATATATATATATATATATATATATATATATATATATATATATATATATTAGAAATACTAATGTACAAAAAAAAGAATCAGTTAAATGATATAAAAAAAAAAAATTTAATATAACTTATTTTCTATGATAAAAAAAAAATGAAAATAAGTCTTTTTTCCAAATAACTATGTCCAGTGGGCAATATTTTTTTATACGACGAAAGGATAATAGTTATATATATATATATTTAGTGAATAGTAATGTAAAAAAAAGAATTAAAAATTATGAAAACTAATTTTTTATAGTTTTTTTATTTTAATCCTTGAACAATTATATTTTTTTTTAATAGTAATTTTGTTATACCTAAACAATTTAAAGAATTTTTAAATTATTAAAAAATTTTTTTTTATACCTTAATTTAAATTATGTAGTCGAGTAAATTTTTTAATAATTTAAAAAAAAAAAATTTTCTTATTTTTTAAAAATTTTTTCTAAAAATTGAAAATATTTTTTTGCATTTTTCGTCGAAAATTCTAAAGCTCATCAGGTTTAACGGAAACAATGGATTTTACACTAAACTATGTGCCGCGTGCGCGAGATTAGACGCATATCATATAAAACGGTGGTAAAAAAAAAATGTGGAGAGAGAGAGAGAGAGAGAGGGAGTCACAATTCATCGCGGCAAAAGAGGGGCACACGTTCTTATAAACACACTACTTGTAGCTTCTAAAAATTGTGTTTTAATGGAAAATGAGCGCAACAAAAGTGGAAGAAACAAGTCCCGCCGAGAGTCCCCCCACCTATTCAGGTAAATTGTTATAATTTGTTTTTAATTTGCCATTTAAAAAAAAAAAAATAATTTTTTTTTTTTTATTTTGAATTAAAATATAAAAAATTTGTTTCTTCCCCCCCCCCTTTTTTTAAAAATTACAATTCATTTTTAAATAAAATAATCAATTTTCACTTCGAAAAATACAAAAAATTAATTTCGAATTTTTTTAATGTTTTATAAGAAATATTTTAAAAATATAAAAAAAAGATTTTTATTAATTTTCTTATAAAATGAAAGTTAATAATAAATTTTTAGGAAAATTTGAATAATTTTTTATAGAAAAAAAATTAGTTTGAAGAAAATTTAAAAATTCTATATTTTTTGAGTTTTAAAAATGAAAAAAAGAAAATTTTTTTTGCCTTCTTTTTCTTTTGCTATTTAGTATCTACATTCTTTATTGTATTTCAAGTTGTAACGTTAATTTTCTGTTGTCCACTTATCTTTTACAAAACGAAAACAATGAGATTTTATAATATTTACATAATTTGAGAGAGAAAAAAAAAATTCAAAATTTAAAAAAAAGTTTTAAAAATTTATTTTTTTTTATAAAACAAGTTTTTAAATTTTTTTTGCAATGAAAGAATAATTTTTATATAATCGTCAGATATATGTTTTATAAGATTATTATTATTTCTCTCATAATAAATATGATGACCAAGAAATTATTTTTTTTTTTAGAAATTTAATTTTTTGTTTCAGAAATATAAATTTTTTATAATATAAAACTTATATGCATATTTTAATTTGTTTTAAATTAAAAAAAAAAAATATTTTAAACATTTTTATTTTTTCGAAAATTTAAATATTTTTTAATAATAAAAAAAAAAAATTCAAAAATACTTTGTAAACAAGTTTAAAAGTAATAAATTCGTCTACTACATAAATGTAAATTTTTTTAAACGATTTGGGTTTTGTTCCTTATCGATTTTACTCATCGGCGGATGTTATTTTTTCAATTTTTTTTTACACAAGTGTAAAAAGATAATTACGTGGACCGTTACGTACAAAAATACATGAAAAATTATAATTTTTCTCTTGCAAAATGAACAATAAATTCATAATCAGAAAAATCCCACGATTAAATATTTATTGACTTTTATTCATTTCTTTATAATTGATAACAAATTTTTTAACTAAAACTTTCCAAGTAAATGACTCAAAGAGTTGTTTAGATTCTAATTTTTTACATAAAAAAAAACTAGATACGTAAAGAAATTTTTAGTATTCATTAAATAATTTTAAAAAATTATTAATTATTAAATAATTATAAATAATTAATTAATTAATAAAAAATTAATTAGTTAAATAATTTACAAAGTAATTTATTAATTAGGTTAATAATTAATCAATTCATTTAATAATAATAATAATAATAATAATTAATATAATAAATTATAATTATTTAAGTTTTTCACTTACTAAATAGAGAATAATTGTTTTTTGCTTAAATTAATAAAAAATTTATTTTCAAAAAAAAAATATATGAAACAATTTGAATGATAAAAAAAATTGTAAATTTTTTTTTACCTAAACTATAATTAAAAACTGTTTTTTTTTAAATATCTTAAACGACTTATTTTCTAGAATTATGGAAATAATTATTGAGAAACTATTTCATTGGAAAAACAATTTTTGTAATATTAATATGAACAGAAAAATTGTTTTTTTTTTTTTTTTTTTTTTTTTTGGTTTTATGAACTGGAGAATATTCTGTCAAATCCTTGAAATGTAATTTTCTTTATTTCTCGAGGAAATTGATAATTGGGTCACTATTACAGGGACTAGACAATAGTAATTATTTATCATTTACTTAAAATCAAAATTGTTTGTTATAATTAATATAAATTAGAAAATTACTGTAATTTTTGAAATAATTTTTTTTTCCACAAGAAGATAAAAATTTAACTTTTCATTTCTGTTATTTAAAAAATCATTAAAATTAAAATATTTATAAAATTCATTTAAATAATTTAATGAAATATTATTTATTTAAATACAATAAAAAATTTATAATATAATTTTTAATTATTTTTTAATATTAATTATATATTTTATTTATTTAAATATTATTAGTAATATAATAATTAATCAATAATAATTAATATTATGAATAAGTTGTAAATTATTATAATTAATATATTATTAACAATAATATAAATAATCTTAATTTTACCAATAATATTTAAAAAAAAATAAATTTCCATTTAATAATTTTAATGAAAAGTGCTGAATAAGGAAAAACAATTGGACTTTTCATTAAAAAGAAAGAGAAAAAAAGAATTAAGCCCCGGAAATTCACATCCTGTTCTATTTCCGTATTTAATGTAATTTTTTTTTGTTTTTTTTATTTTATTTTTTTTTTTTTGTCAACGAAAAGTAATTCAGTTTTAATAGAATGTTGAAAAAAAACAGAGAGATAGAAAAAAAATGCTTTGTAATTTTATGGAAAATTTGTTAAAATGACTGATAATAATAAATAAAGATTCTTTTTTGCGATATTGATGATTATAAAAATATATTGTATTTATAAAACGCCATTAAAATGGTTTTAAAAAAAACTTGTCTCTCATATCATATTTATTGTTGTTCAAATATGAAACCAATTAATATATTTCTTTAAGACATAAACTTTGCAACATTGAATATAATACAAAATGAATTTATTATTACAACATTGAAATGTTTATTTCCAGTTTAGTTATCTATATAATTTCTTTTGTTTTTTCTGATAATAAAAAAAAAAACAAATTGCAATACAGTTCCTGTATAAAATAGTACAAAAAATAAATGTATAAAATATTTTTTTTTCTTCAAATAGCAGTACTATTTATGAGTAAATATTGATTTTTTATTATTTTTAAAATGATTTTTGTAGTATAATTATTGATCTTTCGAATTGTCTGGTACTGAAATGGTAATAAGTAACTTTTGTTGGTACTACAAAGGTACTACATTCATGGTAGTAAAATTATATTTCAGTACTAATTCCATGGCAGGGAAATAATAGGTATTGCGAATTTTCGTACAAAAACAGTTGTAGTACCACAGCCTACTATACTATAGTATTACTATAATAAAGTATAATAGTACTACTACACTATAGTACTACTGTACTGTAATACCGTAGTACTATAGTACTACTACTACTATTGTAGTACTGTACTGTAGTACCACAGTACAATAGTACTACGATACCATAGTACTACTATACTATAGTACCAAAGTACTATAGTACTACTATACTGTAGTACTAATGAACTGTAGTACCATAGTACTACAATAATGTAGTACTACTATGCTGCAGTACTATTATACTATAGTACTACTATAGTATAGTACCATCGTAGAGTAGAGTAGTACTATAGTACTACTCTACTTTAGTACTACAGTACTTTAGTGCCATAGTACTATAGTACTACTGTACTGTAGCACCATAGTACTATAGTAATACAATTCTGTAGTACTACAATGCTTTAGTACCATAGTACTATAGTACCATAGTACTATTATACCATAGTACTACTATACTATAATACTACTATACTATAGTACTACTATACTACTACTATACTATAGTACTACTATACCATAGTACTATAGTAATACAATTCTGTAGTACTACAATGCTATAGTACCATAGTACTACAATACTATAGTACCATAGTACTATTATACTATAGTACTATTATACTATAGTACTACTATACTATAGTACTATTATTCTATAGTACTACTATACTGCAGTACTATTATACTATAGTACTACTATACTTACTATACCATAGTACAATAGTACTACTGTATAGTAGTACTACTACTAGTGCTAAGAGTAGTACTACTTTATAGTAATATACTACTACCAGTACTAATAGTACTACAGTATAGTAGTACTAATATACTGTAGTCCATAGTACTGTAGTGGTACTACACTATGGTGGACAGTACTACTATACTACAGTATCATAATCTTGTAGTGCCATTATACTGTAATACTAATGTACTCGAGTACCATAGTATAGTACCCTTGTAGTACCGTCTAATTTAACACATAACGATTTCAGTACCACATATTTCGAAAGATTAGTTCATAAACTATTAAGAACTATTAAAAACCTTTTCTAAAATTCATCATTAAAACAAAATAGTACCAATTTAAAATTTTTTCTTATGAAAATAATTAGTGCAGTAATCAGGGATTATTTATAAATAATGAAATATGCAAATTACTAATGACTTGTGCCGATACCGAAAATCAAGGTCAATGATATCAAGTGTTGAAAAAATGATAACTAGCATCTTGTTTTGCAGTTTAATTTTTTTTAAATTCATTTGAATATTATTTGTTTATTGCTCGTGGATAATAAGAGGGACAAAAAAAATGGAAAATGAAAATTCGTATCTTTTAAGTAGATCTCTTGATTATTCATTATCAGGTGGTCTGGGAAAACGACATCTTCAAGTTTTTCTCTTATTTTTGGGAATGACACTCTCTTATGGATTACGAGTCAGCATGTCAGTTGGTATTGTTGCAATGACTGATAATTCAACAATTGGTTCCAATTTTGAGGTGAAACAAAAGTTATTTTAAAAAAAGTTGTAATTAAAATTTTTTATTTTGTAAATAAAAAATTTTTTTTTTTTTTTTGCAGATATTCAATTGGGATTCACAGACAAAATCAATGGTGTTGAGCTCATTTTTTTGGGGTTACACAATAACGCAAATACCAGCGGGTTATGTGGCGGGTATTTGGAGTGCTCAACGATTAGTTTCAATAGGAATATTTTTTTGTGGAATATTAACACTTTTAATTCCAATTGGTAGCAGTTATGGTGGTTGGATTGCTGCCTGTATTTGTCGTGTGGGAATGGGTCTTTGTCAAGGTTGTCTTTTGCCATCGACACAAACACTTCTTGCAAAATGGGTACCACCCAATGAAAGGGCACGATTAGGTAAGTAATTTTTTTTAATTCTCAAATTCAAAAAAAAAAAAAAAAAATTTTTTTTGAAAAATTTCAATTTTTTTTTTTTTTAATTCGAAAATTATTTTATTTTGATTTATTAATTTAAAAAATTAATTATTTTTTGAATTTATTAATAAAAATTAATTTTTTATTAATTTTTGTTTGTTTACTCTAATTTGTGACTGAGTAAATTTTTTTTTTTACAGGAACATTTGCATACGCAGGTGGACAATTTGGTACAGTTATAACAATGCCAATATCAGGTGTTTTGGCCGCTTCAGCAATAGGTTGGCCGAGTATTTTTTATATTTTTGGCTCTTTGGCAATAATTTGGTCGATTCTATTTTATTTTATGGGTTTTGACAGTCCTGTGCTGCATCCAAGTATTTCGAATGATGAAAAATTGTACATTCAAGGAAGTCTTGGCGAAACAACTGAGAAAACGAAACTTGAGGTGAGATTTAAAAAATTCAAAATGGTGGATCCAAAATGGCGGACTTTTTTTTGAAAATCGTCAGATTTACTTGAAAATTGTTAATCAGGGGTATTTGGGGTCGCTGATTACGAATCTGGAGTCCATTTTCAAAAATTCAAAATAGCGGATCCAATATGGCGGAATTTTTTTTTTTTAAATTCATCAGATTTGCTTAAAACTTATTACTCAAGGTTTTTTTGGGGTCGCTAATTACGAATTTGATGGTAATTTTTCAAAATTCAAAATATCGGAATTTTTTTTAAAAAATTCATCAGATTTAAAATTTGCATTACTTTTTAAAAACAAAAAATATATAATTTTGTTTATAATTAAATAAATTATTATATTTAGAATTTATTTGAAAAAAAGAAAGTTTTACAAAGAAAATGAAAAAAAAAAAATTCAATGAAAATTATTATTTCTATTTAATTGTAAATTTTCTCCAACTTTTTCATTTATATCTTATCATAAAAGAAATTTTTTTTTCTTTTTTATAAATCTAGAGCGATTGCAGAGTTTACGTCTATATATATTTGAAATACGTAATTCTAATCTGAATGTTAATCTCTCAATACAAGTCATTTATAAGTATATTTATAAAATCTGATTTCTTTAATCACAATTTACATATATATATATTTTTTTTCAAAAAATTAAAGTAGGACAAATTTATCTTTTTAATCCTCTTCAAGGATAAAGAAAAATATTAAATTTTATTATTTATATATATAAATAAAAAATATAATATTAAATAAGCAAATACTTAATAAATTTTTAAAATGAAAATTGTAATTGATATATTATATTATATCATATGGTAATTATTTTTAAATTTGAAAAAAAATTATTTTTTCCTCAACTGATTGAAAATTATAAATTTAAAAAATGATATAATACCGCGAGAATTGTGCAAAAAAATTAATTTTTAATATTAAAAAAATATTTTTGTTGTTAATTAAAAAAGAAAAATAATTTTTTTCTATTTATACAGAAATCTGAAACTCCATGGAAGGAAATATTTACATCGGTGCCAATGTGGGCTTTAATAATTGTACACTGTGGACAAAATTGGGGCTATTGGATGCTTTTAACCGAAATGCCCACATATATGAAAAATATTTTAAAATTTAATATTGAGGAGGTAAAAATTATTTACTATTAATATTACTATTATTATTATTATTATTATTATTTATTATTATTATATAATTATTAATTTTTAAACATTTACTTTTTTATATATTAGTTTAAATGTAAATTATTTTTTTAATCAGAAATTTATTTTTAAAGATTATATTATTTACTATATATTATTTAATCGTACTAATTATTTAACATTGTTAATCTATGAAAAAAAAATTCACAATGACGAAAATAGTTCAATGGAGTACAACAAGTCATTAAGATAAAGTTATATAAACTTGAACTATGACACGGACAAAGGAAAATTTTACGTTTTATTGAAAATAAAAATTAAAAAAAAATAAAAATAAAATAAATTATGTAGGGTCATAAACTGTAGAAAATGATTACATTTATTGAATTAATCAATGAATTCTATGTGCGTGTGTGTGTGTGTAAAATATTTTTTTCACACATTTTTCTTAATTATAACTTTTTATATTGTAAAATAATTTTTTTTTTTAAATTATATATTTAATAATTTATTGAACTGGGGCAAATTTTTAATTTATGACCGAAATTAATGAATTCCTGTAAACTGAAAATTTAATTTTCTGTTAAAAAAAAAGTGGTATTTTTTTTATGTGAAAGTAAAAAATTTTCTTTTGTTTTCAGAGTGGAATAACTTCGGCACTGCCATATTTAGCAATGTGGCTTTTAAGTTTTCCAGCAAGTTGGCTCTCGGATTTTGCATTAAAAAAAGGTGCAAATGTTGCAACAACACGAAAAGTATCAAACACCATTGCACATTGGGGACCGGGTTTAGCATTATTGGGATTATGTTTTGTTCCAACGGATATAAAAAATAAAACTATACCTGTATTAATTCTTGTCTTGTCAGTTGGACTTAATGCTGGTTCATTGTGTGGTTTTCAAATAAATCACATTGATTTGAGTCCAAATTATGCCGGAACAATGATGTCGATTACAAATTGTATTGCATCTGTAATTGCAATAATTGCACCGTTAATTGTTGGAAAAATCGTCTACGAGGAGGTATAATAATTTTTAAATTATTTTAATGTAAAAATTTTTTTTTTATTTTTTGTATTTAATTTATTTTTATTATTCGGAAAATTATTTTATTATTATTATAGCAATACAATAATAATAATATTTATTTTTCATTACATTTTTATTATGTATTTTTTTATAATATTGTATTTATTATATTTAATTTTAATTGTTTTTTTCTAAAATTTAAATTTATTAAATTACTTTTCATTTTTTATTAAAATGTTTTTACTATATTATATTTAATTTTTTAAAATATTTTTATTAAATATTTTTATTATTAATTTCAGACAAATGAACATTTATGGCACATCGTATTTTACATATCGGCGTTTATTTATTTTATTGGCAATTTAATATTTATTATTTTTGGAAAAGCGGAAATTCAATGGTGGAACGATCCTGTTGAAGTCAAAGCAAGAAAAGCAATGAAAAAAGGAAAACAAAACAATCTCGAAATGAATGTAAAAAGTCTTTGAAAAATAATTTTTTTTTGTTACTGTTTAATATAGTAAAACGAAGAAAAAAGAAAAAAATTTATTAATTTCATTGCAGAAAAAGAAATTGCATTGTATCAATGCCAAATTTATTTATTTATTTCTATTGTAAATATTTATGTATTAGATTGTTATTATTAAAATTTATTTTTTATAATTGTATATTCGATTTTTAAGAAATTATTTATTTTTTGCAAATATTCATTGATTTTTTTATACGAAAATTTCTAATATATATATATATATATATATATATTTTATAAATTTTTAAACAATTTTATATTATAAAAATAAATAAAAAAAGATTAGAAAAAAGGAACAATAATTTTATAACAAAAAAATGAAAAAGAAAGTTTATTTTTGTAATTAATATTTAATAAAAGGTTTTTTGCAAAATATGGTAATTTCTTTTACACTTTTAGGTGTATTTTGTGCAAGAAAATGCAATAAAATCGTCTGCCTAAGAAAAAATGAATTTTTTTGGGAACTTTTTTGTGATTTTGCATTTTTGGGTCGGATGACTTTTTGGTGGTAATAGGTGTCTTCCTCTACTCGTATTTGGCTGTCAATTTTTTTCTACACTTATAGGTGTATTTTGTGCAAGAAAATGCAATAAAATCGTCTCGCCTAAGAAAAAATGAATTTTTTTAGGAACTTTTTTGTGATTTTGCATTTTTGGGTCGGATGACTTTTTGGTGGTAATAGGTGTTTTTCCTCTACTCGCATTTGGCTGTCAATTTTTTTCTACACTTTTAGGTGTATTTTGTGCAAGAAAATGCAATAAAATCGTCTGCCTAAGAAAAAATGAATTTTTTTGGGAACTTTTTTGTGATTTTGCATTTTTGGGTCGGATGAATTTTTGGTGGTAATAGGTGTCTTCCTCTACTCGCATTTGGCTGTCAATTTTTTTCTACACTTTTAGGTGTATTTTGTGCAAGAAAATGCAATAAAATCGTCTGCCTAAGAAAAAATGAAATTTTTTGGGAACTTTTTTGTGATTTTGCATTTTTGGGTCGGATGACTTTTTGGTGGTAATAGGTGTCTTCCTCTACTCGTATTTGGCTGTCAATTTTTTTCTACACTTTTAGGTGTATTTTGTGCAAGAAAATGCAATAAAATCGTCTGCCTAAGAAAAAATGAATTTTTTTGGGAACTTTTTTGTGATTTTGGATTTTTGGGTCGGATAACTTTTTGGTGGTAATAGGTGTCTTCCTCTACTCGTATTTGGCTGTCAATTTTTTTCTACACTTTTAGGTGTATTTTGTGCAAGAAAATGCAATAAAATCGTCTGCCTAAGAAAAAATGAATTTTTTTGGGAACTTTTTTGTGATTTTGCATTTTTGGGTCGGATGACTTTTTGGTGGTAATAGGTGTCTTCCTCTACTCGTATTTGGCTGTCAATTTTTTTCTACACTTTTATGTGTATTTTGTGCAAGAAAATGCAATAAAATCGTCTGCCTAAGAAAAAATGAAATTTTTTGGGAACTTTTTTGTGATTTTGCATTTTTGGGTCGGATGACTTTTTGGTGGTAATAGGTGTCTTCCTCTACTCGCATTTGGCTGTCAATTTTTTTCTACACTTTTAGGTGTATTTTGTGCAAGAAAATGCAATAAAATCGTCTGCCTAAGAAAAAATGAATTTTTTTGGGAACTTTTTTGTGATTTTGCATTTTTGGGTCGGATAACTTTTTGGTGGTAATAGGTGTCTTCCTCTACTCGTATTTGGCTGTCAATTTTTTTTCTACACTTTTAGGTGTATTTTGTGCAAGAAAATGCAATAAAATCGTCTGCCTAAGAAAAAATGAATTTTTTTGGGAACTTTTTTGTGATTTTGCATTTTTGGGTCGGATGACTTTTTGGTGGTAATAGGTGTCTTCCTCTACTCGTATTTGGCTGTCAATTTTTTTCTACACTTTTAGGTGTATTTTGTGCAAGAAAATGCAATAAAATCGTCTGCCTAAGAAAAAATGAAATTTTTTGGGAACTTTTTTGTGATTTTGCATTTTTGGGTCGGATGACTTTTTGGTGGTAATAGGTGTCTTCCTCTACTCGTATTTGGCTGTCAATTTTTTTCTACACTTTTAGGTGTATTTTGTGCAAGAAAATGCAATAAAATCGTCTGCCTAAGAAAAAATGAATTTTTTTGGGAACTTTTTTGTGATTTTGCATTTTTGGGTCGGATGACTTTTTGGTGGTAATAGGTGTCTTCCTCTACTCGTATTTGGCTGTCAATTTTTTTCTACACTTTTAGGTGTATTTTGTGCAAGAAAATGCAATAAAATCGTCTGCCTAAGAAAAAATGAATTTTTTTGGGAACTTTTTTGTGATTTTGCATTTTTGGGTCGGAGGACTTTTTGGTGGTAATAGGTGTCTTCCTCTACTCGTATTTGGCTGTCAATTTTTTTCTACACTTTTAGGTGTATTTTGTGCAAGAAAATGCAATAAAATCGTCTGCCTAAGAAAAAATGAATTTTTTTGGGAACTTTTTTGTGATTTTGCATTTTTGGGTCGGATGACTTTTTGGTGGTAATAGGTGTCTTCCTCTACTCGTATTTGGCTGTCAATTTTTTTCTACACTTTTAGGTGTATTTTGTGCAAGAAAATGCAATAAAATCGTCTGCCAAAGAAAAAATGAATTTTTTTGGGAACTTTTTTGTGATTTTGCATTTTTGGGTCGGATGACTTTTTGGTGGTAATAGGTGTCTTCCTCTACTCGCATTTGGCTGTCAATTTTTTTCTACACTTTTAGGTGTATTTTGTGCAAGAAAATGCAATAAAATCGTCTGCCTAAGAAAAAATGAATTTTTTTGGGAACTTTTTTGTGATTTTGCATTTTTGGGTCGGATGACTTTTTGGTGGTAATAGGTGTCTTCCTCTACTCGTATTTGGCTGTCAATTTTTTTCTACACTTTTAGGTGTATTTTGTGCAAGAAAATGCAATAAAATCGTCTGCCTAAGAAAAAATGAATTTTTTTGGGAACTTTTTTGTGATTTTGCATTTTTGGGTCGGATGACTTTTTGGTGGTAATAGGTGTCTTCTTCTACTCGTATTTGGCTGTCAATTTTTTTCTACACTTATAGGTGTATTTTGTGCAAGAAAATGCAATAAAATCGTCTCGCCTAAGAAAAAATGAATTTTTTTAGGAACTTTTTTGTGATTTTGCATTTTTGGGTCGGATGACTTTTTGGTGGTAATAGGTGTCTTCCTCTACTCGCATTTGGCTGTCAATTTTTTTCTACACTTTTAGGTGTATTTTGTGCAAGAAAATGCAATAAAATCGTCTGCCTAAGAAAAATTGAACTTTTTTGGGAACTTTTTTGTGATTTTGCATTTTTGGGTCGGATGACTTTTTGGTGGTAATAGGTGTCTTCCACTACTCGTATTTGGCTGTCAATTTTTTTCTACACTTTTAGGTGTATTTTGTGCAAGAAAATGCAATAAAATCGTCTGCCTAAGAAAAATTGAACTTTTTTGGGAACTTTTTTGTGATTTTGGATTTTTGGGTCGGATAACTTTTTGGTGGTAATAGGTGTCTTCCTCTACTCGTATTTGGCTGTCAATTTTTTTTCTACACTTTTAGGTGTATTTTGTGCAAGAAAATGCAATAAAATCGTCTGCCTAAGAAAAAATGAATTTTTTTGGGAACTTTTTTGTGATTTTGCATTTTTGGGTCGGATGACTTTTTGGTGGTAATAGGTGTCTTCCTCTACTCGCATTTGGCTGTCAATTTTTTTCTACACTTTTAGGTGTATTTTGTGCAAGAAAATGCAATAAAATCGTCTGCCTAAGAAAAAATGAATTTTTTTGGGAACTTTTTTGTGATTTTGCATTTTTGGGTCGGATGACTTTTTGGTGGTAATAGGTGTCTTCCTCTACTCGTATTTGGCTGTCAATTTTTTTCTACACTTATAGGTGTATTTTGTGCAAGAAAATGCAATAAAATCGTCTCGCCTAAGAAAAAATGAATTTTTTTAGGAACTTTTTTGTGATTTTGCATTTTTGGGTCGGATGACTTTTTGGTGGTAATAGGTGTTTTTCCTCTACTCGCATTTGGCTGTCAATTTTTTTCTACACTTTTAGGTGTATTTTGTGCAAGAAAATGCAATAAAATCGTCTGCCTAAGAAAAAATGAATTTTTTTGGGAACTTTTTTGTGATTTTGCATTTTTGGGTCGGATGAATTTTTGGTGGTAATAGGTGTCTTCCTCTACTCGCATTTGGCTGTCAATTTTTTTCTACACTTTTAGGTGTATTTTGTGCAAGAAAATGCAATAAAATCGTCTGCCTAAGAAAAAATGAAATTTTTTGGGAACTTTTTTGTGATTTTGCATTTTTGGGTCGGATGACTTTTTGGTGGTAATAGGTGTCTTCCTCTACTCGCATTTGGCTGTCAATTTTTTTCTACACTTTTAGGTGTATTTTGTGCAAGAAAATGCAATAAAATCGTCTGCCTAAGAAAAAATGAATTTTTTTGGGAACTTTTTTGTGATTTTGCATTTTTGGGTCGGATAACTTTTTGGTGGTAATAGGTGTCTTCCTCTACTCGTATTTGGCTGTCAATTTTTTTTCTACACTTTTAGGTGTATTTTGTGCAAGAAAATGCAATAAAATCGTCTGCCTAAGAAAAAATGAATTTTTTTGGGAACTTTTTTGTGATTTTGCATTTTTGGGTCGGATGACTTTTTGGTGGTAATAGGTGTCTTCCTCTACTCGTATTTGGCTGTCAATTTTTTTCTACACTTTTAGGTGTATTTTGTGCAAGAAAATGCAATAAAATCGTCTGCCTAAGAAAAAATGAAATTTTTTGGGAACTTTTTTGTGATTTTGCATTTTTGGGTCGGATGACTTTTTGGTGGTAATAGGTGTCTTCCTCTACTCGTATTTGGCTGTCAATTTTTTTCTACACTTTTAGGTGTATTTTGTGCAAGAAAATGCAATAAAATTGTCTGCCTAAGAAAAATTGAACTTTTTTGG